AGGGTGATAAGGTCTCCCCTGAGCCTCCTCTTCTCCAGGCTGAACACCCCCAGTTCCCTCAGCCTCTCCTTATGGCACTTGTGCTCGAGTCCCTTCACCAGCCTCTTTGCCCTTCTCTGGACCTGCTCCAGCACCTCAATATCCTTCCTGAACTGAAGGGCCCAGAACTGAGCACAAATTAATTACACTGTTTTCTCAAATCTTGTATGTTATGATGCAAGTACTAGATTCAGTACTGAAAACCTAGCATTGTGGCATTTTTTTCCTCCTTGTGATGATTTCAGCAGCAGCACAGACCAAAAGGCAGTGATGGCCTGTGCTTGCTGTGACAGCTCTGCATTGCTAGATGAGTGAGGATAAGAGCAGAGCTGAGCTTAAGCGGAGGACAGTACTAATTTTCACAGCAGAACATGGAGCAGTAAAGTGCCATGAGTTAGCTGTTAAGTGGACACCTGTGTGTGTGGCACTCCAAAAAATGTCACCATTCACAGCCGTTACCTTTCCTGTCGTGTGCTGGAACTTGGAGCCATTGATCCCCTAATAGGCTTCCTTGTTCACTTTGGGGTTTTGTCATTGCTTTAATGTAATAATTGTTAATTATTAGCTTAAACTAGAGTTAAATTTACTTCTTGTTTCAATGTCCAAAGTTGTATAAGAAATTTAATTCGTGTTTTCATGCAGGGAAATTCTTTAGTGCGATCACTTTTTGTGTCTCAGAACAGATTGTTACTTTTTTCGAATGTACTGAAAAAATCAGTTGCTTACAGCTGGAGACAAATGAGTATTCCAGATTCTGCTTTTCAGTGGAACTAATGAGATGAGGTTCTTTATAAGTTAGATTGAGCAGTCAGTTTGTTCAGTAGTGAATATAGTCGTATTTACATTATTTTTAACTGCATAATTTTTTGTTCATCATAAAATTGTCTTTGGGCTATTTGAAGATTAGAAATATATATGTCTAAAGAAGAGAGAGAAGACATTTTAGCTATTACAGCACAGACTAAACCAAAAAAACCTATTTCAGAACATGACCATAATGGGTTTATTAAAATTGATCAGCTTATTCTTGCATGTAATAATTTGGAATGACGCAGTGTCTTGCATTAGTTCATTACAGCAGACACCAGAGGGGAAGCTGTTCAGTTTAAAATAAGAAACAATGAAGAGTTCAGACTAACAAGCACCAGGAAGATTGAGCTAGGTGGCCAGAGAGGTCTTGTCTTTCTGTGCCAGTGCCTCATCTATTACCACATTTTTGGAGCATCCTAGAAAAAAGGAACATGAAGTGGAGACCGCAGTGCTTTGTTCTAACTGATCATGAGAGATTCACTGCTTTTATGAGAACATAACATGTAAACAAATGAGAAGAGGGTAAGAGTTTGGCCATGGCAGTCAAGTGCAGTATTGATGAGATGTGGAAGGGGCGGAGAGAGTTTTGTATCTTGTGAAATGACATGGATTTGAGATCCAGGCCAGTATCCCCATCACTCCTACCACAGCTGTGTCCCCCTGGAGGGGCAGGCAGGCTCCTCCTGCCTTGGGGGGAGTACTTAGGCTTCTCCTAACCCCAGCGCAGAAACACCTAGGGGTACCACCTTATAACACCATCATAACCTCCCCCTTTCCCTCTCCTGATTATTATCAGGCGCTGTTGTTAATTTATTGACAGTTTTTCATTCAGAATAGTTCTGGAGGAAAATTTACAATATTGGCGGAGGTTAATGTAAGGGAAGAGTTGCCACATACAAAAATTGCAATCAGCATGCATTGCAGAGATAGGGTTTGGGGGTAAATAGTGCTTTGAGTTGTTTTTATACCTAGTGCATTACAAAAACCAAACCCAACTCTTACAGAGGTGCACTATTGTGGAATACTGAAGTATACTGTAACTAAGGATTAGTAGCTAAAGGATTATTTCTTTGACACAATAATCTGTGAATTCTACTTCTGCTGACTGAAGGCAACTTCAGCAAAAATGCCTTGAAAGTGCTTTCTTTAAATCTGCTCTTTCAGTGAGTGAAGAAGGCTGGTTGTCTTTAAGCAGTGCAGGAAAGAACACTAGAAGTGTTTAGGCAGTGGTATAGACAGATGTACTGCAACAGACACGTTGACATTGCACCTTTATGCTCCTGTTCACATCGCTCAGCTTTCCAAAATTGATAGACTGGGAAGCGGTGGAAAATTGTAGACAACTACACTAGCAACAGTTCTCACTTTCATGTTTTTCACAAAAGGCAAACTGCCCTTTATGGGCTATTAATTTGTGAAGTCATTTATCTCAGGGCAAGACTGTATTTACACACCCTAACATAAAGAGAGAAAATTGTAGCCTGGGATTTAAAAATGTCACTGCACATGATGCCAGGATAAACAGACCAGGAATTTATTTCAGTTGCATCTACCCTGACACTTCCCAAACTGTTTGTTTTCACATTGCCTCTTGGCACTATATTGTTTCCCTATTCATCTACACCAAACCTCCATCTAAGCTAAAGAAATGCATGAAATCAGATAGAAATATTCTTCATCATAATTGGAATAATCAATCATAGGCAGCTCTGTGCCTGGTAGAGATTAAGGGGATATTTTTTTATGCTATAGCAGTGACCATTGTAGTTTTCTAGTGTCTTCCTTCTTTACCACTTTCTTTATCTTCATCCATTACTTACCTCAGATGGAACTTTAGAGGGAGGAGCCTCCAGGAGGGCACAGCGTGGCTCACTGTGGCACAGTGTTGTACAGCAGTGCAGCTCAGGGTTACTGCTCTGTCCTAGCCCTTCCTCTCCAGCACTGTACCAAGGGCTACAGAGACATTACTCCACCTTTTCCCACCTTTATCTCTGTGGCTTTCTCCTCTTTTGAAGTTGTTTTGACCTTCTACCCAGAAAAGGTCAAGCCAAGATACAGTTGTTCTAAAGCAATCTTTACTTAGTCTGATTTCCTAGCCTCTTTGGGCAGAGACCTTGTTTTCCATTTTGAGCAATCTGTTTTCTGCAATAAAACACTGAATATGTTTCTCTGTTGCTATAGAAATAATATTGCATTAAATGAGGGAATCAGTGCCCTGCTGTCGACAAATCTAATCTAAGTGTTAGTCTCTAGAGCTTGAATTTCACCGCTGGGAAGAGGTATACATAATTCTACAAATTATTTCTGTAACTTATGCATAAATGTCTTTATACTCTGCAACTGTTAGCTAAATTTCCCAAAGTGATAGCATGGAGTTTAACATGGTGTAATGTGTTTACATAGATCTGAAGAGAGCCTTTCCCCCTCCCCTTTTCCCAACCCTCCTCCCCCATACGTTTTCCTGTTTATAGCTTGAAATTTCAATCTCTTTGCATAGGGAAGTGGGGAGTGGCAGGGGAAGCAGGGCTGTTTGCCAAGTTCCCTACCCCATGGACAGCAGTGTGCTAGCTTTATTTGAATTTTGGGGTTTGTTTTTAAAATCCAGCTGCTCCAAGTAACATGAGTTGTCATTTGCCCTGTTTTTTCTGAGGTTAGTAAGAAGGACAGCCTAAATTGACCACAGGCCTGGTACATTGATACACCCTACAAAGTGATCTCCTGTCCAGTAGTTTCTAGACTGCCCTGGGTATCATATGCCCAAGTTACTCAAAGTTTCCTGCAATAACTTTATACCCTGTGCAGCAGTTAAACACAAGAGAATTGTGGATGTTGACTTAATGCAACTCACATGGAATCTAACATGTATTCTTTATGTTTAGCCATAATTTGGAATTCCTATGTGTTTTTCCCAGTATTTTTTCTAGAGCTGTAGAATTCTAGTGATGTCAGTAAGGTGGTACTTAAGGCTGTGGAAAGAGGTAATAGTAGTTACTAAGAGTCAGTGTTTGTCAACATATTGATCATGAGTATTTTGAAGAAACAGTGAAAAACCTTTTTATCTTACATTACAGGAACCCCTTCTGTGTCTAATGTGTAGTTACAAAAATAGAACACAATTTAAAAGTACCTGTTGACTGATTTGCAGACCTGTACGCAAATGTATGTTAGAAATCTGAATTGGAAGTTCTGGTAAAAATCCTGTCACAGCTTCTTGGTTAAAAAAATGCAGTTATTATTTGTGATATGGGTCTGTGCTAGATATATGTTCTGTATTGTAGGACAAAATACAATTTATACGTGTTCATTTCATGAATAATAAACATTTCAATGGCCTCGGATTAAAGATTAGTCTTCAGGAAACCTAAGAAAGCCTCTGTCATCATTAGAATAAAATAACTGTTTGGGGTTTTTTAAATCAATTCTAATTTTTTTTGCAGTGACTGTAAATTAATCTGGCAAGAAGATAAATCTCCCTAGACAGGTACAAATTTGTGACAGCCAGAAGAGTGACTGTGGCTATGCAGATTGCTGTAAAGGCAGAGATGCAGGAGAAACTAGCCAAGTACACAATTACCTTTCTTTGAAATTAATGGCATGCTTATTATTAAAAGAGACTCATCATATAAATAAGTCACCACAAGACACTGATTATATTTTTGCTGTTAAAGTAGTTCTTGTAATGAAAAAAAAAACACAACCAACCAACCCAACATCCCTTAATTCCTTTGCACAGCCATAAAATGTAAACTAGAAGTTGACCTGGTTTTTACCCTTATGCTGTTACACCAGCCAAGGTTGCTGCATTTTTTCACCACATCATCAGACTATAGGTGAAAAGACTCAGCCTGCTAAAGCTCTTGGTGCACAACAGTGACCATGGTACCACCTACTGCTGTGCTGTCTCTTGGTTCCTGTCCAGAGCCTTGCTTCAGGCAGGCTGTGGAAAACGGCTGAGGACTTGATAAGGGAGGGAAGTGGGAGAGAAAGAATTCAGTGGATATACAATATTAAAGTAAAGATGTATTCATGATCACATCTAACATAGAATATTTTCTTAATGTGCATAGTTCCATAAAGAAAGGCTAACAATGAGGGTAGGAAAAGATAATATAAGCACTCAAATGTTTTGTTGGTTTTTTTTTTTCCTCTAGGAACCCAGTGGAGACAGGACCAACAGCGAGATTTAAAGGCCGTTCTGAAGAACACTGACCAGGACATTCCACTGGTGTTTGTCAGTGGAAATCATGATATTGGCAATACTCCAACCAGAGAAACAATAGATGAGTATTGTGAGAACTGGGGAGATGACTACTTCAGCTTTTGGGTTGGAGGTGTTCTCTTTCTTGTGCTGAATTCTCAGTTATACTTTGATTCTTCCAAGTGCCCTGAGTTAAAGCAAGCCCAGGATGTGTGGCTCGACGAGCAGTTGGCTCTCGCTGAAAAGCAGAAATGCAAGCACATAATAGTATTTCAGCACATCCCTCTCTTTCTGAGAAATCCTGATGAAGACCATGATTATTTCAACTTGGATAAATCCATTCGTCAGGAGATAATGGAGAAGTTTCACAGAGCAGGTATGTGCTCAAACTTTCCTAGTTTTCAGTTTCTGTTTCAAATCGTTAATGGCTTTGCTGCCAGACAAAATACATTTATCTAAATGGTACTGTTTTCAAGGAACTTTAAATACTGCTTATAAGCCTCACTCTTCCCTGCAAATGGGAATTATCGACTGAATCTAATCACCTTTAAAAAGTACCGAACAAAATTTAAAACTTTGAAAAGTAAAAAAGCTAAAAATGAAAGATTCTTTAAGATAAATAGCAAGGATTCTGTTTTGCAAGTACTGATAGATAGAAGACAACATGAGTTTTCCTGCCTCCAGAATGGAAGATCAGGTATTGCCATAGGAAAAAAACACAGAATTTATGTTTTACATAAAACATGGAAACAGAATTCAGAATTACCTTGGAGGTTGCTTTCTCCCACACTGAGCCAATTTTAAACCAAGAGTGTAATGCAGTCCAGATTTATTCAGTGTTAAAACGAGTCTTGCTCTGCTAAAATCAATCCTTTGCATACCCATTGCTAATAGAGGCCATCTCTGGGATGAAGGGCAGGTGGGACATGTGCTAAACAGGTATATTGTACCAAATCCCTTAGCTTTGATGCCACTTGAACACCATGGAGACAGACACAGTACACAGCTACTCCTCCACACTGTTCCCATTGTTTTCTGCTAATTGCCTTCGTGTTCCTGGAGTGTGCTAGTCCCTCAAAATTTCCTGCCATCACTGCATCAGAGTGTCATTTTCTGTCTCTATAAGGGAGCACATTATTTGGATTACTGAACAATGCAAATTGTTTATGATATTGTTCCTGATTTACCATATAATTGTTAAGCTTGGACTCAGCCAAACTCAGCCTAATTTCCAAGCTCGGAATATCCTACTGTTTCCAATCAGTGGGTCCAAAATTCATAGCTATCTGAGGACTCTCCAGGGTGCTGACATACTTGCAGATTCAAGATTTACAACTGGGTTTTTCCCCATATGGAGACAGGCTGAGAATACCTCATTTTTAACTTCTTGTGCCAGTGTTAATACAGTGGGAAGTATTGCTGTTGGAAGGTTGAGCAGCTCTGGGCCTTCCCATGTGCTGTGGACTAACCCACATCTAGTTCATCAGGGAGCTTGTCAGCAGAAGACTTTGCCAAACAGGTGTTTCCCAGTAAATAAGCATTAATGTGGAAATCAAAGCAGTTCTCTTCTAGAGTCTTTGGTCATCCAGATGGTTTACTAACACTCAGTACTGGGAATGTAATTAATCAACAGGTGAAGGAAATGATGCAAAACATTATCATTGTAACGTTGTTATGTTATTGTGTTTCTTAGAAGGATATTTCACACTGATTCTCCTAACTTGAGTCCAGAGGCTTAACCAGAAGTTGGGTAGGCTTCAAATGATGGAGGAAAGGAAGGCAGACTGGGCAGCCAGCAGTACAACTCTATGGAAAAATTCCCAAGCTCCTTTCTGTGCCACCTTTCTGTTCCCTCCATCACTTCCCGTTGTGTCTTTCCTTCCCATCTCTAATACGACACTTTGTTTGGTTCCTTAATGAATGTGTTTAAACACTGATCTTTTGCTTGCTCTTTTATACAGTGAGTCAATAGGTAACATTCACAATCCAATAATCAAACCTTTTGCTAATGAAATGAACACAGAGAGGACGCAGCTCCATGCAGCTCAGAGTGCTGAGAAAAATGAGCTGAATCAAAAGTTGGCTCAGAGTTTCCCTAGTAACGGCTGCGTTCTGGTTCCAGTCTATTACTCAGTTGAAGAGCAGCCTTTGTGAGACCACAGAACAGTGTCAGTGGATTGCAGAGAGGCAGTTAGCATGGTAGGAGAGATGCACAGATAGACAAAGACACCACTTACCTTCTGAACCTCTGCTCTGCCAAAGAATAATCAATTTCAGCATATCATTAGACATGAAATTGTTTTTCCCTCAGTTCACTTCTTGGAGGATCAAAACACAGAATGTTGCTAATGAAATCCCTATCTACTTTGCTTTTGGTTTGTTTGTTTTTTTAATTATGGCTTGCAGTTTAAGAAGGCTAACCCTGTCTAGCACTTCATTTAGAAATTTGGTGTAACTGTTTATTCTGGAAGAAGAAAGTCTTTTTGTGAGTCCATGCTGCCACTCTTTTTCCCCCAACCAGTCCTTCCTTGCTTCTACTCTCTTGCTGTTGTACTGTTTCTAGCCACTGAAGGTTTCTTGTGTCATTATGTACAATTTCAGTGTAACATACATGTTTTAGGGATTGCTGTGTTTGGTAGTGCAGTGTTATTACATGGGCATCATACTTGAGGTGTTGATAACCTGGGATCAGGCCAGGAATTATCCCAGTTTTCATGTTTATACTTTTTCTACAAGTGTCAAACCCAGAGCCATAACTCACCAGGTTAGAGAGAGACAGGAAAGGAAGCACAATCTTCAGGTCTTTATATGAACAAAGAGATTCATATGGATATGTGTAGGAAATAATCAGATGCTTTAAGTATGGTGATACTGCACAGGTGCTTTATAGTGAGGTATGCAACTTGATAAAATTCTCATTTTAAATTCAGACCCCAGATCTTCTGTAGTTATTCTCTTCAAATCACTTACATGTTACATAATGGGTTTGGTATAAGTATCTGCTCATTACAAGCAGAGATAAAAGACTAGCTGTAGAGGCTACATCTGGTACGAAATACTGAATTACATTTCTCACATTAGAAGTGTCCTTAACAGTTGGGCTAATTAAAGATAAAATCATGTCCTTATGATAAATATTTATAAATTGAAAATCTGGCACTTGTAAATATGTATCACTATTATGCAGAGTTAAACCATCCTCGTAAGCTGCGTGTCTGCTAGCCCAGTTTGCCTCCAAATGCATTACAACAGGTACCATCCTTGAAAATGTTGTTTGTTACAGTGATAACCAACTCAATTTGAGAACAGAGTTTAGCTTGGAAGTGAAGACACATCTCTGAAGGTGTATTTGTATAACTTCTGCAAGTTTAGCCTAAGTTGTCAAAGCTCTGTCTCCTCTACATGCAGAAGTTAAGTACCGAAAAAAAAACCTGTGTGCAAGAACTGTGAAAGAGCTGACCTGACGTTCTCATCTGTAAGATCTGCTGGAGTCACTCCACTCCTGCATGAAGTGCACATTCAGCTTTTAAGGATTTTACAGTGCTGATATAAATAGGTTTCCTCATAGCATAAAAATAAAGAAGTAGTAGTGGTCTAGGCAAAAATCCGGTCTGCATGTCATGTGTCTTTGATAAACATAAGTGATACATTAGTTTTCAGATTAAGCAGTTTATGTAACGGAAGACCTACTTTTTCTTACATATCTCATTCCAGTAACATTTTCTTAGGATGTTAAACATTTTTTTCCTGTGGCCTGAAAAGTCTGGGTATTTTTGTTGAGCTGTAGACAATCTTTGGAAGACTTTTTTTCCTGAGAACCATCACTGACACACTGAAATGACTTGTATTGCTTAGTACAATATAGTAATAAATGTTCCTTAATGGCCTGAATGGACTAAAACATTAAAATACACGTCTGAAATTTTTTAAGAGCTCTGTTGGATAAAACCTAAATGAATAACTGTTTTTTACCAACCAAGTTTCAAAAAGTACTTTTTTTTCAGAGTTAGATGATGAGTATAGGTGATCTGTCCAGTTGAGAGATTTTGCATCCCAGAGAGAATCACTAGATAATATATAGAAAAATATACAAGGAAATTCCCTGCAATCTTCAGCTTCTTGAAGGTAAAAAGTTTCAAATTCACCCAAATGTCATCAAAGCAATTCTTCAGGTGTGGTGAAAAACACTTATTGTGTACACAGAGGCAAAAGGAACAATATAACTTTATTAAACGGTATATTTTTCATTATTTTTGTGACTGTAGGTGCTGTAACTTCCAACACCTTCACTCATTAAAAGAGTGTGATATCTACATTCTCCTCTTAGAAATGTTGTGACAGGAGAGTAGTGTTAAAGGAAGAAGGAGCTTTCAGAACATCCACAGTTGAGATATATTTGAGCACAAAATTAAAGCATGGAGTGTTGAAAGCTGTTGTTTCTAAAATTTACCAGACAACATATGCTATGTTTCATTATTTTCCTTGTTGTGTAATCAAAGTTGACAGGGGAGTAATATTTTCTTCTTCCTGCCATCGAGGCCTTGATTTTGGCAAAGCTCATACTCTGAGTAATCTTGTGCTTGCTTATGTGTCACTTTGTCAGTATTTAATATAATTTAAGTACTCTCAACTTCAATAATTTAGATCAACCTCTTTCCATGTCGCAGTTGTTTCTTATGGTACAGGTGGAGTGACCAAATTTGATATCATACATGTCACTATGTAAGAATAGTAGTTTTTAAGACTGTTCCCCAGGTGTGGTGGTGCCATCTAGCATGGAGATGCACCCAGATTTATTTTCTTTTCAGAAGTTCAGCAGTAAGTTCTAAATCCATCTATTCTGTAAGGACATTAAGTAATATTTGTTCTTAGATACATTTTTTAAATCAATTTTGTCCACTGGGCTGAAATTTCTTTTTGCTTCTTAGAGCACACAGCAATCCAGAGGATTGTTTGGGGGTCGTGTCAGGTCTCTGAGAAAGCTTCACTTCCAAGTGCAAAAAAATAACATAACCAGGAAGTAAATTCCACTGAGATCACAAGAAGCATTGATACAAATTAACTTGAAGGACAGAGTGACCTTCTACAGATAGCACCTCCAAATGCTTGTTTAGACCAGTGCTCTAATTAGGTGATCTGGAATCACCCTCTGGCTGTGCCTCTGATTATACAGGAAAAGCAAGTGACACTAAAATCCTTTTCTTGATAGCTCTATTCAGTATTGTCCTATATAAAGATACTTTTGGCATAGATATACTTTGCAAAATAATACCTTGTCTCCTACTTGCACAGACCCACTGACCACCACCTGCATCAAACTCCTGATTCTTTAGTGCATGAAACAAGTTTAAGGCAGTTTTCCTGCACGTTTGTAGG